CATTTGTAATCATCAAAATTAAACGAAATAAACATTTGAAATATGAGTTTTTATGTAATGTATGAATATAATATTCAAGTTTCACTTTTTAAATGGAATTACTGAAATAAATCTACTTTTTCATGATATTCTAATTTTATGACCAGCACCTGTATATGTCTGTGTTTGCACATGACCAATTCTGTATGGTGGGTGAGAGACTAACCAAGGGATGGGCAATCCTTGTCCTCGAGGGTCACAGCCCTGCATGTTTTACTTGTTTCTCTGCTCCAACACACCTGATTTGAATGAATGGGTAGTCCCTCAAGGACCAGGATTGCCCACCCCTGCACTAAACCCTAATTTACACTAGATGTGGTTCCACTCCGCTATGAATCTCCGCAACAAATACGCAACCGTTATAATCAATGAGTATTTCAATGGCAGCAGTAAGCGGATGGCGATCCGCCAAATTTAGATTTGATCATATTTTTGCGGGACGCCAGTGCTGTGCCGGAATCAATCTAAAAAGATCACTTTGCACCAACAGGAAACGGAACAAGGACAACATCCGTATTTTCAAAATAGTTCACCAAAGGCAGACTAATTTCAACAAAATCCCATTTGTATTAATTAGGGATGCACCATAACTTAAGTTAGATTCAAATAATATTTGTTTTTATTATTATTAATATATGATTTAAAACAATTTTCTAACTGAAACAGTGCTTCTGAAAGTGTGAATGCATTAAGACCGCATCATACTAGGAAGACACACAGGGGCAGCGGCTGTTCAGCTGATAAAGCGTGGCTAACAGGTAACAAAAGCTTCGGTCTTTAACAAGGGTGAACGGCTGGTTGTCATCATTTCCATCGTTAAAGTGCTTGATATTGGCGTCCTCTCTGGCAATTTGTTCGTATTTGTGAAAAGCCCCAGCAGTGATTTAAGTGTTCACAAGTTCTTGAACGCTAGCTTGTTGTTTTTTATTATCATTTTAGCAGAACAGACTTTGCGCTGCGTTCAGGAGGTAACGGACTTGACATGTTCTCAAATTGAGAGTAGTTGTTCCAACCTTTTTATGTTTATAATTATAAAGTTTGTGTGTAACATACAGGGTTAATTGGTAAAATAATATTAATAATTCTTAAAATGACTGGTTGTTTTTCGTCACAGGGTATTCTAATTATTTTTCTACTGAGAAAGTTATTTTTTTCTGATGCCACTTGAACGTTGCTCAGGTCGTGCTGGATGGGAAGCAGCTTGACCAAAAAGGATAAAAATAAAGGAGTGCACTCACCGCCGCGCCGGCAAACATGTACATCTATTATCTGTTCTGTTTGTTATGATATCGGACCGGTAAGTATGACATCATAATTTCCTGATATCGGGCTGATAACTATCATGCACCCCTAATATTAATAAATATGTGAATATATTTATACACAAATGGTGTCAAAATGTACCATTCTGTTTGGGAAGCAAATGTAAACACACACACACACACACACACACACACACACACACACACACACACACACACACAC